GCATATGTGAGACATCGGCTGAAAGAACTGCTGCCATTAAAAACACATACGAGCCTCTCCGTCCTCATGTCTACCATCTGCAGGTACCTAAATGCTCACTGGCTGCTTATTGTTGTGCTTTGCTGAGACTTCACACCTCCACTCCTCCTCTCCTCAGGACTCTTACCTGGCGCCGAAGCTCAAGCAGCTGGTTGCTTACTGCAGCAGCAGCGACGCATGTGAAGAAGGTCTTACCGAACTGCTGGAGGACGTAGGAGGTGATAGAGCTTTCGTAGAAGAAGCATCGGTGGAGGAATGCGAGAAATAAGATAAATACTCCCACCTTAGGATTCCTGTAGTTTGTATTTGTTTAATAGTACATCTCTCTGTAAGGCCAGACTACATGACCAAATAGTTTGTTGAGCTGCACTAAGAAATCTGACTATCAGGCCTCCAGGTTGCCCTGAAAACATTGTTTTTCTTTCAAGCTCCGAGAGTCTATCGTCTCCCAGTGTTTGAGAAAAGCTTCTGTGAGCAGCTGGTGGAGGAGCTGGAGCACTTTGAGGAGTCAACAGCCCCTAAAGGAAGACCCAACACCATGAACCACTACGGGGTAATGAACACTTGTTTCTGTTGGCCAACCTTTTTTAAAACTCAAGATAATATAGAATATATGTGTAAGAACCTACATTTGTACGCTGCTACTTGGGTTATATTAATTAATAACATATGAAAGAAAGAGTTGAAGAAGCTCAACCTCATTTCTGTTTTTTCTTTTTGATTATGAAAGACCAAACCTGACGTAATCATTTGAGTACAGGAAGAAAAAAAACATTATATTAATTCATGAAGACAGACATGTTCATGGATCTTGGTCAGTTTTAAGAATAAAAGGCATCAATAAATAAAGACAGCACTTCCCAAGACCTTCCTAAGAACCCGAGCGTGTAGCAGTGGGATGTTTTAAGACGGGTGCAGCTTTTGGAAGTTGCTTTATTCGGGTACTTTTCTCGTCTCCGTAGATTCTTCTCAACGAGTTGGGCTTTGACGAGGACTTCATCACTCCTCTGAGGGAGCACTACCTGCAGCCTCTCGCCTCCCTACTGTACCCGGACTGTGGCGGCCGCTGTCTGGACAGCCACAAAGCTTTTGTTGTCAAATACGCCATGAACGAAGACCTGGATCTGAGCTATCACTACGACAATGCAGAGGTCACTCTTAATGTTTCCCTGGGCAAAGAGTTCAAAGACGGAAATCTTTTCTTTGGTGACATGAGACAGGTGATGCTCTCAGCTCCACATTTTTCTGTTTTATGATTAAATAAACTCCATTATTAGCATGTATTGACATGGAGACATGAGCCTTTTTGTCTAAACCTGATTTAAACGTTGTGGTCCTGTCGCTTCCTCCAGGTGTCCATAAGTGAGACGGAGTGCACGGAGGTTGAGCACAGGGTTAGCGAGGGCCTCCTGCACAGGGGCCAACACATGCATGGGGCCCTGCCCATCTCCTGCGGCCAGCGTTGGAACCTCATCGTCTGGATGAGGGCCTCGCAGGAACGCAACAAGCTGTGCCCCATGTGCAACAGGAAGCCCTCGCTGATGGAAGCAGATGGCTTTGCTGATGGATTTACAAAACAGTCTGAGTCTCAACAGAACGGCTTCTGTGAATTAACGTGACAGTATCCAGCTGCTGCCCGTTTTCTGTCACACACAGGGACTTTAGGAACACACACACAAACACACACTCACATTTTCTATACTCTAGACCTGGCCACCCCTGGTCAGCCTCTCTAGGCTTTTTGCTGATCTGCAGTAGTCGGTCAGTGAGAAGCAGGGTACTTCAGGAAATCTTTTTAAAGAATCATTTGAACTATTTCTAATGGATGATATTTTGTAATGTTTTTGGCTGTCAAATATCTATTAAAATGTCCAGCTCTGTCAGAACTCCCACAAACCACTCTGACATTGTGAAGCCATCCCAGGCTTCCTTGGCTGCTAGCCAGACCTTTCTGTATATACAGAATCAAGATTAAACACATCCAGTCAAAAACAAAACAACATCTCAAGTGCATGTAGATCAGATGATTCCACCTTTTCAGTGTCACACTTTCTTTTTGTGTTTGTAGTAGAATTTTTCCAGACTGAAATGTCTGAAACGGTTAGATTTCCTTATCAAAGATCTTCAGTGATTATTTCAGGATCAGTTTTATTAGAACCTCTGTGGTTTGGTAAATATGGTCCAATAAGGTAAGTAATGTTCGCCTGCAGTACAGCCTACACAGCTGCTGAAGTTCCAGTTGATACTTCAAAAAAAATCAAAACCAGTCAAAAAGAAGTAGTTTGGAATGCTATAGTACACTACTTTAGTTTCAAACAGGTGAGTCATTTTTATAGGCATGCAAATTATCATTTTCTTTCTATAAAGAAGGAAAATCAAAGTCAAAGTTCAGAATAATGGCAGTTTAATTCAACAACTCATGGGTTTGATGCCTGTCTCCAACGCACATTCTGTGTCCTGTTCATTGTCGGACATATTCTCACACATTTTAAAATGGAAAAACACAAATGTCAGCCTGTCAATGGCGGCTTTTACAGGAAGTGAGCCTATAGACACATATCATCAGCGCCTTTTGGTTGTTTCTTTTTGTTCTTGCCAAGTGTGCCAATTTGGAGTTTTGCAGTAAAGGGAAACAGGGAAACGGCTCTGTGGGATTAGATAGACTCAGCACACACACCTAGCACAGATATATACACTACATGCTAACATGCTAATAGTACAAGGCAGAGCTATATACAGGAAAATGTACAGTTACTAACAAAAGCTGATTACACATTTCCTGCCTTATAGTTCATCTCTGCACATACAGTTGGCATAATTTAGTGTTTTTTGGTTAATTACAGTTAGAACTCAATTATACAGAGCTGCTTGTAAAATGATTATATTAATTACATAAAGTTACAGGATATTGTAAAGAGATACATATTTTCTCTCTTTGGCGTTCTTTACATTATAAATGTAACTAAATAAATAAATTCAGTTCTTAATGTACTATCCACAGGACCACATGTCATGATGACACACTCATTTAAAACCCTCCCGCGATCTTAAGAGACGGGGTCAATTGGACCCCACAAGCTTTTTACTCTGTATGGGGTCCGGCAGGGTTGAAATGAACCCGCGTACATATTTACGAGGTTTGTTGTTATTGTTGTATGGTTTTGGTCCGACGAGTCAACCCCCACACTTCCTGCTGTCAGACCGTGACATCTGACGCGCTCCTCCAGAGCAACGTGCTAAGACCAGGGGAGGGTTAAAAGTGAACACCTTTCCAACAGGTTATCATAGCGTTGTCTCGCTGCTGATATCCCGTCCCCGGTGGTGGTCCATGTCGGAGTCGTAGTCTGACTCCATCTCAATCTTGACCTGAGGCACAGGGCAGGCCATCCCTCGGCCCATGGGCATGGCCGGTGAAGACGGACAGGAGATCTTCAAGTGGAGGGTGATGCTGAGGAAGGGCAAGTTCTAGTTACCAGACACACCCACAGCCAAGAACACCAAGGGGCTTACCGGGGAGGACACAGGAAGCCCAGGCATGAGGTATCACCGCTCCAACCAAAAAGAGCCCTGATGCCTCATACCCCAGACCAGGAGAGGGTACGGACAGTTTGTAGTGTAGTTTTGCAAATAATTTCTCTTGTGGGGTCAGTAGAGAGTTCTTCCAGAACTAAAAACTTTGAGTCTGATGTGGTTTGTCTGGTAAGGTATTCTGGTTTGTCTGGTATTGTCAAGTTTCAATATTTTTGAATTAATAAGTGGTGTCTAATTACCAACACCCCACTTTCCTCCTCATGAAATGAGTTTCCTTACATAAGATAACATTTTTTCAAAACATGCTATTTATGTTCCCAAACCTGAAAAACCCAGTTTGTTTCCATCAGTCTAACTCCAAAGAGGGAATGTAAAGAAATTCAGATCAGCCAATAATTCCTGCTTTTGTTGATAAGTAACCATGCTTCTTTCAAAGCAATGCAGACATTATGGAATCTTTTTTTTTTCTTCCCCCCCCCCCCCAAAAAAAAAAAATATCAAGCTCGTTACAAAGGACAAAACCAGATTGTTAGAGATAATATTTAAGTCAGGAGAATCTGTGGCTCCAGGTGAGGGCAGTCGATTCACATATTATCAAGCTGAGGTGAGGCTGAATTTGACATGCAGCTGTGACTGACGCACTACAAAAAACCCCAGCACAGTGAGGAAAAAGAAACAACCAAAACAGAGCCTGATGCATATATGAATATAGGTAACTACAGACAATGGCCTGTATGTACAAGATAAACACCAAACTAAACAAAAACAACAACAGACCATACATCATGAAATCCCAGGTTATGTTGAACTACACAAAGAAAAGGGATCTGTGGTTTCAGGTACATGACATTTCACTTGATCACTCGCTCCCTTCTCATCAAAAGCATCCAAAGTGGGAACAGACAGAGAAAAATACTGTCTGCTGAGCTGTGTGTGTACAGAGGGCAGTGCAGCACATGTACATGATCATCACATTCCAATCATCTGCATTGCCTTAAAGTGCATGGAGAGGAAGCTGAAGTCACATTTAAAGATACAGAGAGATTTAACCAGGAGGCGACTCTGCTCTCAGGAAGGAACATGTAAAGTTAACAACTGCGTCTTTAAATGTGTTCAGTGACACTGAGGGGTGAATAGAGGAGTGGGTCAAACAGCAGCAATACATTATCTGAAGCTGCAGTATGTAACTTTTATAAAAATATATATGTTTTTTACTTATTTGTTAAAGCTGTCAATATGTCGTGACAGTATGATCTGAGATACATAATCTGTGGGAAAAAAATAAATAAATAAATCTCCTCGACCTTCGTCCTGAGCTACTATTGAAGAAATACACCACCCCAGTCAAAAACAACCTATCAGAGTTAGGAGGAGGGTCTTAGCACTGTCAATCATCCTCGTGTGGCGCTGCTAAATGTGTTAACAGAGAAACAACTCACCATTACAGGAAAACCGATAATCTGTCATCATCGGTGGCCATGCTAACTAGCATTACCTTTCATGACAGACTCTGCTATCAGGAAGAAGGGTGATTGACAGCGCTAAGACCCGCCTCCTGGCTCTGATTGGCTGTTTCTAGTTAGCACTGGGAGAAGGCAGAAAAGCCTGATTTTTTTCAAAGACTATCTGTTTTATATTGTACAGCTAAAGAGAACATGACTTTCATGATCAGGATATTACATTAGAGCATTAAAAACATTGTTACAGAAAATGTGGGATTAATGAAAGGTATGTTTCATTCCTGCTTAGATTGATAGCACCTTTTGGAAAACAACCTTCTGACAAGCAAGGCTTATCAAAAAGTGTATTTTAATTTATTGAAAATTATTGCTTTTGCATGGCATATTCCTCTAAATTTTGTTTGTGAAAAACTATGACCTATAGGCTACTTTCTGTTGATCTATCACATAAAATCTCAAAGAAAATACCCAAAGGTTTGTGCCTAGAATGTGACAAAATGTGAAATATGACGTTATTTTATTAAAATAACATGTTGGTTTAACCACACGTTCCAAATAAGTACACTTTTTATTTTGTGATTTTCCAAAAATTCTTCACAATCATTAATTTGTTTTGACCAGTGTTGTTTCCCCCTTTTACTTTTTTTTTTTTTTTTACATTAACCCAGTTGGTTAAATAGCTTTAATCATAATTTTACAACAGTATTTTGTAATTATTCAGGTTATTTCTGCTTGATATTAACATGTTTAATGATCTGAAATATTTAAATGTGACAAAAAGCAAATCTAAAAAAAAGCCTGTAAGTCTGTGAAGGGGCTAATATGTTTTCACAATACTGCTTCAAACAAAATGTATTGTTTTTTCTTCACCATAGTTTATGTATATCTTATGCTTTTTTTAATCAATTGTGTGAAGCTATAAGGTCTGAATGGAGCCAGTGGGGAAAACAAATGCAACAAGATAAACAGGAAATTTAAATTCAGAGTATTTAAATACAGAGACTTTTTCCACAGCAAGCCAGAATATTTATTCTGAAATGCTGTGGAAGCAGGAACAGGATGGAATGAGCTCAAATAAAGAGTAAAAACTTTCTGTTGTGAACCACAGAGAAATAAAGTCTAAGGGAGAGCATTGTTTAATTGTCATTTTTGTGAACTGACCCTTTACATTGTGCAGATTTCCTGTTTGGGATGACATGCGGGTATGTGTTAAAATACACTACGTGTTGCGGCGCGCTGGCAGTACGCTCCCCACTGAGACTGCGCTACGTCGGGGTAGACCAGGTCTCTGTAGGGGATGTGCAGCTTTAGAACACAGTACCTGCGATCCAGGTCCGACTCGGAGCTGGGCGAGTGGTTGGAGTAGCCGTGGTACTTCTCCTGTGAGCGCCACGCAGTACAGAAAGCAGTCGGTCATTAATATCATACCCCCTGAATTCCTGCAGAGGGCAGCAGAGGTCTGAGTTTCTCACCTCCTCCTCCCTGTCGTCTGTTTTCGGCTTCTTCTTGTCCTTCTCCTTCCTCTTCTTCTTGTCGTCTTCCTTCTTCTTCTTCTCTTTCTCAGGCAACAGGTCGTCCAGCCAGGCTAAGTCATGCTGGGAGAACATCATGTCCAGCACCTTCCGGACCACCATCAATCCCAGGATCTGGTGTTTGACACGCAGAGAACATGTCTCTGTTTAAATACAGCTCAGTTATGCTTTAAGTATCTACTGTGTAATCCCAGTAAACACTCCGCTCCTTTATTTAGTCTTTTTCAGCCTCATCATAAACATATTTCATTTCTTATTCATTAATATGAACTAGTGTCAAATAAAAGTTGGCTTATGGACTTTACATTGAACTTGTTTTGTCTCCACAAACTCAAGGCTGTTTGTCTGTTGAAAGCATTATTTGATGTGTTTGAAGAGAAACATCCTATTTTGATAAACTACTTTGAAAAAATCATTTTATTTCCTTGACTTTTTCTTGTTTTGCATTTTATTGCATTAAAAGCATGAAGTTGATCAAATAACTTTCTAGCTGATTCCGTGGGATAGTTAGTGTTAAAGCAGTAACTCAACTTAAGTAAGCATGTGGGGACAGTGGAAAGGAATACTGCAAAATCTCTAAATCTTACCAAGATTTAGTACCACTGAAATAACAGAAAGCTAGCTTGTAAGTAACTTTTCATCATGAAATAAGAGTTTATTTTAAGTCAATAATTCCTAAATATTCATTTTAAATACATTTAAATTATAACAAGACATTTTGCCATGTTATAAGTGAAACTTGTGGGGTTCCACAAGGCTCAGTTCTTATTTCCCGTTTATTTATATTATATTATTTATATTATTCCATTTGCTGGCATTATCCAGTCCTTTTCTGATATTTCCTGTAATATTGCGTTTAAACTGCAGTACTAGTCCTAGTTCCACTGGCATTTTATTTCATTTATAAAAATAAATTTTTTCTATTCGTGAAATAATCTGCCAATAGTATTGATACTTTTTCATCAATATTAAGGAATTATTGTCTTAAAACAAGCTCCTACATATTTGTTAAAAGTTACCTGTAAGTTAGTCTATCTTATTTCAAGAGAATTAAGATCCAAGTACCAGAAATACTTGGTAAAATGTTGAGTTTTTGCAGTGCAGTGCAATAGGAAATAATATGAACACACCATGACAGGAAAGATGATGGCTAGGAATGTAGATTTGAGGACCCAAAGCACGGTCAGGCATATGATCTGGATAAGTGTGAAGAGATGAACCCTCCTCAGAGGAACGTGACGGAGATAGCTGAAGTCCGGCTGGTGTTTGGACGGCATCAGGTACAACTTGATCCGGTCCCAGAACTGAGAAAAAGCAACGACATCAGTGTCCCAACAGAATTATATGGAAATCCATTAGAATAATAATTAAAAAAAATCTATTAATTTTCTGTCTGGTTTACTGAAGCTGAGAAAAATGGAATAGAAACTCGTTTCTCCATCCTGCAAAGTTTGAACATGGTGAGCTCGTCATAAATTCTCAGCGGATTTGTCCTCAGAATGTCTCCGTCGGAGTTGATCGTATCAGTCCGCTCACAGCTTTGTTTGTCTGTCAACTTTTAAAAAGTGACTTCTCATCTGCTGTCAGCTCAACAATGAGCAAGATGACCAGACAAAAAGAAAAGAAAGCAATTTATGAAGATAAATGAGAGCAAACCGATGGCCTACCTGGATCCCACTGAGGGAAGCTACACCCATGTAGAGGAAGACGCCGTACAGCACAGGCATGGGAATGAACTAAAGCAACAACACAGGAAATTATGTTATTCTGTTACAGAATGTCACCTATGCAATATGCTAGCCTCACAAGCATAAAGAAACTCATGGAAAAACAAACATTCAGTCAGAAAACTTGTATGAAATGTTTAGATACCTCACTAGCAACATGGCTTTAAGTTTGAGTTTGTAGATCTCATTACTTCATGAACTTAACCATGTGTGGGCGGGTGGAGAAGCTGAAGAGACTCTAAATTTCCACAAAGCTGGAGTTATTGTTTTTAAAAAGTTTTTCCCTTGCTACTTTGCAAAAATAATCACTTTGGATAGAGAGCATCTGCGGAAAGCAATTTTTAGATTCCACGTCTGAATACTTTTGCAATAAAAAATGTGTTACTGATTAAGTTTAGAGTACTTCCTACCTTCAGAATTGGGGCGAGAAAGATGGACACTCCAGTGAGAACAAACACCAAGATGCCCGTGACTCTCTGCTCTCTGTAGGTTTGACAGAAGACATTTGTTTCATAAAGGTCCTTCTCATAGCTGCATAAAGTGTATTATTCTGTTATTTAAAGTGACAGCCTCAGCATTACATTAACTGTGTTTCCATTACGCAAATTGAAATTATAAAAACAAACACACCAATTAAAAAAAAAATGATAAAAAGTTTTTGTGCTGGGATGAGGTGAAACACTTTTGGCATCACGCTGTTGATCCGCATGTTACTACTGGTGAAAACGACAAAGAAAACAAGAGGAAGTGGGAGGAAGTTCATAGTTTATCTGTCATGTAAGTGTTTACTTCTGTTGCCGCCATAATTTTTAATGACATCACCTAAACAAGCTTTGTCACGTGTGATTTTAATTTATTATTTAATGGAAACACAATAATTACGAAATTGTGTTTTTCGACATTGGCAGAAGTTAAGCAAAGATTTGCTCACATCTGTTACAGAAACGCAGCCAGTTGTAATTGTTTGACCAACCTGACTCCCAGGAACTGCGGCTGCTCTCCTGGAGCGCTGGATTCACTCTCCATCTTCAGGGAATCGATGTGGGCGATGGAGATGACCGTGGCAGCCACGTACCAGGGCAGCCCCAAGAACGAGCAAGCAGCCATAAGAACCCCCACCCAGAACAGGTCCAGGTGGTAGCCACAACCTTTCTGCCATGGAAACCAAATAGATAGCAGTGAAATTTGGATTTAAGTTGGAACCCGTTGGTATAACGGAAGAGAACGAATGAGAGCGTACCTTAAGCTTGTTTTCCTTGCGGTTGACGATGACGGCGCTGATCTGCTGGTCCATGAAGATGAGGATCGTCACGAGGAGGGCTGGAACGAAGCTGGCCAGGTAGATCCACCAGGGGTTCTTTCCAAAAGGCATCACCAGCCAGCCACGGCCCGGCCGTGTTGGCTGCCACACAGGACAGGAAGCTTGATTAGAACAAAAACGTCTGCATTCATCGTCATGGGAGAGTCAACTGTGTAAACAAGCAACAACAGACTCGTTCAATTTATCCATGTAGCGCCAATTCAAAACATCTCAAGTCAAAAGGTCAGTCCAGTCCAATCATACATATGTTCCAATGCAGTCATGTTCTGTCTATTATTCAAGTTGGTTTAAAAGTTTCTACCAAAGGAAATCCAGCAGATTGCATGGACTTACAGAGTTAACTCCACCTGGGTGAGGATTATATTGATGACCTGCATTGTTGAGTCGCTGACTTCACAGCGATCCCATCGCACCAAGCATGGCACAGGAGCTCGTTTTAAGTCAATAAGGCTGCATTCACACTGCAGCCTGAAGTGACCCATAATGTGACCTGTATCTGGTCTTTTCATGACAGTCTGAACAGCACAGGTCAGACTTATTTCGAATGCGACCCAGGTCACAACACCGGATTCCTCAATTCCTCAACATTGAATAAAAGTTTTAGTTCCACTGGCAGATTATTTCACTGATAACATGGGACAAATGTATTTTTTCAGTAAAATTCTGCCAGTGGAACAAGTATTAGTACTGTGGTTTAAACATGAAATACAGCTGTTGACACAAAGGGCCTTAGCGCTGCCAATCAACATTGTGTATATCTAGTTAGCATGGCCACCAATGATAAATTTTTTTCCTGGAAATGTGAGTGTTTCTCCACCATTAGCACATTTAGCAGTCTGAACATTATTGTTTTTGACAGCACTAAGACCCTCCTCTTGGCTCTGATTGGTTGTTTTTGGTTGGGAGCGGTGTATTCCTTCAAACAGCAGTAGTAGCGAAGGGAGGAGATCAATCTTTTCACAGATTATCTGTCTCACCTGTCGACATGGTGACAGTTTTAATAATATATGCTCAAAACACATTTTTTGTAAAACTTACACACTGTACCTTTAACTAAAAGGAATGTGTTTTACCTTAAATTCAGTTGGGACTATTAGCTTAGGAGTTTTGAGTCCCACCAGCATGTCGAGCCCGACAAACGTCATGATGGACATGAAGATGGAGAAGTCACTGATGAGTTTCCTCAGCTGGAAGAACGGTAAAAAAATAAATCCATCATTATCAATTTGAAATGAAATTTGAAATTTGAAATGAGATTTTATTCGAACATGATACAAATACAAATATAAAAATAAAATAGTGCACAGTAACAAGAAGTGCATAAAAATAAAAATCAATAGAACTGAAAGCCAATGAAAACGCTCGCTTGCAAACCGTTTTCCGAACAACTGAGCTACCTTGGTGGGGAAGTAGCGGCTGAACTTGAACTTCTTCAGAGAGACCGTCATGGAGTAGGTGCCAAAGAAGAGGATGAAGGACATGAGGGCCAGATCAGGAACGTACTTGCACGACTTTCCGACCAAAGAGCCTCCGTACTTCAGACACTCCTTCTTGCTCAGCTGACTCCAGTCCAGAGCTGTCACATTCAACTGGGATGGCGGGCGGCAGTGTTGGGCAGACAGGAGAGGGCGAAAAGTGAAGCGTTTCGGCAAAGACACGGACAGAGTAAACATTGTCAGAACGGGTTTTGAAGTTAGAAACCGTGGAGAAGAGTTAGATGGTGGCAGGACCAACGGTAAGAAACAAACAAAGGTGAAAAAGAGGAAAGCAAAGCAACTTCTCTGTCACAAAGACATGATACTGGGGTTAGCTGTGAACAAGCACTTTAGCTCTTTTCCAACTATTTTTGACTTATTTTGTGGCTAAAAAAAAGTTGCGGATTCTGGACACATCAAGCTTACTACACAAACAACCAAAATTTAGTCAAAAAAAAAGGGGGGGGAAAAAAGTGAAAACAAGCACTTACCCCAGAGACACTAGAGCTGTTATCTGGCATTGGAACTAAACCATTGAAGATGATTGCAGCCACTGTTAGTGAATGGTGGAGAGAGACACACACACACACAAACACACGGGGTAATGAGACAGAAAATAAGAGTGGGTGAGGAGGAAAACAAAAGGGAAGCAAAAAGAAATGCAAAACATGATGAGAATTCAACTGCTGGACATTGCTGTGAGCACTCGCAGACACATGCGGACGAACAAAACGGTACTCACTTGCAAAAGGCGGCAGCCAAATTGTTGGTGCGTGGTGAAAGCAAACAAGAGACAAATCAGTTACAGAAATCAATGTCCACTTAAACTACTGCTAATCTCGGCGATTTTCAAAAACAAATTAATGGACATCAACGTTGCAAAAGGTAGCATTTAAAAATAAATATTGATCCCTCCATCTGTCTAGTTTTAGGAAGCAGCACAGAACTTTAACTTAGTGATTCACCTAGAGGGAAGGTTGTAGAAACCTTTAAAAAAAACTGGTGCTGCTGCTGCTGTTTAGATATAGAACATCTTAAAGCTTTTGTACAGTGGTGTGTTAGGGCTTTTGTAGACAGGAAAAAAAATGAGTAAGTTTCTGACAAAAAAGTTTGAGATTAATCTAAGACATTTTCTAGAAAAATAACACGGACATTTTTTGGTCCAAAAGTCACAAATTTGCAAGAAAAAAGTAAAAAAATTTTTAGATTTATCATTTTTAGATTAATTTCAAAAGCTCTGCATTTTTGCACAGCTGAATGGTTGCCACAGGACATTGAAAGATTTCTCAAACACGCATGAAAGAATCAAAGCAAAACTCCAAGTATGTTTTTGGTGAGGGACTTACTTCACAATGTACAGCTAAAAAAAGTTGATTTTACATGATATTGCCCACTTAACATTACACCTTAATGGCAGACCAAATTGACCAGGCACTGTTTGTCACAACAGATGCTTGTCTGCGGTGCTGGCCCAGGCACCAACACAGTATCAAACTAGAACTGCAAGCAGTTATCAACGGGTTCTGAGCCCCAATCTACTGCAGAAAGCTGCAGGGAAGAACGAACCAAACTGCCTAAAGATACGTGAGGTGAGCTGTGGGCATCAGATTGAGAAAGACTTGAGACTGGAATTACTACCAAGGTTAGGTCAACAATGTAATAAGCAAATGCTGTGAATACTAATATGATTGCTTAGTTTTCTAGTTTGAAAAAATTTGGAGTAATGCCAAAAATTATAAAACATGGAAAAAGTAAACGACTGTGATTACTTTCCAGATGTATCTAATGTTTTCATTTCACAAACCTCTGCCATCCTGAAAAACGTCCTAAACAACCCTCCCCGCTGATTTCCCTGGGCCAAGGGGTGAACTCACTCGGGTCTGGGGCCAGGCACTCGCACTTGTAAGTGGTGACGTAGTCTGGCTTGAAGTCGGTGTTGATGGGGTAGTACTTGAAAGAGCCCACCATCTTCTTGATGGCGTCCGAGATGAAAATGAAGGAGATGAGGCTGGAGAAGCCCTCCTCGGTGAAGCGGGTCATGTACTTGATGATGTAACTGGCGTCTGACGCCACCAGGATGAAACACTGCAGGCACGAGTGGATGCCGATCCACAGCCGCAGCTCCATGTAGTCTATGCCGTTGTTCCTTTGGATGGGAGATGTACAAGGAGGAAAATAAGTCCAAATGAACAGAAAGGTACAAATTGGAACACTTCTTTATGCCATCAAAAGTACAGTTATTTGTCTGTTTCAAAGTAAATTAAAGCCATGGACGAGTGGGGGCGTCCAAAGCCACCAACATGCTGTCACAACATTTAGTTTTCCTGATGGCTCCAAATAGTCTATAAAAAAATCAACTCACTTGCTGAATTCAAACAGGAGTTTTTCAAAGATGAGAATGGGTCCTGTGGAACTGAGGATGATGAGGGGCTGACCGCCGAAGAGGCAGAAGACAGAACCAGCCAAGGCAGTGCCCAGGAAACTCTCCATCACACCCTGGTGGAGGAAATGGAGAGAGATTGAAAGGGGATAGAAGGAGGTAAATGAAAAGGGTCAAAGCAAATGCTGAAAATGAAAATGCAACAGCTAGCAGCTTAAGCAAAATCTTTGCTCGGGGATCCAAAACTGGCTAATTTACAGGCCAGCCACAAAAATTTATTGAATTAAATATGCAAAAATGAGCATATCTGTTAGCATTCAAGCTAAACTTAGCATTTTTTTACAGTGAAATTTGTAACAGAATAAGTAATGATTTCTGATTAGCACTTTTTTTTATTGTCACTACTTATAATACCTACAGGTATAACGTACTGTATAATAGGCATGGGCAATAGTAGGATCCTACAAGCATGTAAGAATGTTGATAGTAATATGTTTTTAATGTCCTTTTATGACAGCAACCTGCTGAGGGACCAAAATAACTCTAAGACTAAAATTCACAGGAAGCTGAATAAGCCCTACAGGGTTGTTCTGAGGTTACAGATTGGATTGCTCTTTGCCAGCCACATGGAGATTAGTCATTTTAAATTGAATTTTACACATTTACATGCAAATGTTCCATAATATATGAAAAGTAAAATATGCAGATAAGTTATGAGAAATTTCATTTCTATGCATAAGAGGTTTTCAGCTCATACATGAATTATGAGTAAATAAATACAAAAGTTGTTTCCACTGAGTGTGATTGTTTGGTACCTGGTAGTTGTCCGTGGCGTCTCCAAGGAGACCGCCAAAGGTGATGGCATTAGTGATGCAGCCCAGGTAGATGAAGAGCACAGCGGAGATGGACTGGATGTGGAATCCCTCGTAGAAATCGCTGGGCAGGAACGGAAGTTTCCGCTTTATGTCCAGGTACAGGCCACCACAGAAACTAAAACAGCGACAAACTCGATGGTTAGGATGCTACACACTAAAGTGCAGAACAGAACATTTCTGCCTTTAATTTTCTGTGAATTCACTTGAAATTCACAGAAATTCACATAGATAACATAACATGATATCTATGTTTACATCAATATAATTTTTACTGATATCTACGTAAACATGAGCAAAACAACACAATAAACCCTGTTTAAGATTCATGTGATTCAGCCCGCAGGTTACAGGACGATCACCAAAATGGCCACCGTTTGCTGCAGTGCCACACTGCAGTTTGACAGTGGCAGCTAAAATCTCTATTGGGGTTGAATTTGTACCAAAATCATTTGTGTGACGACAATTACAATTCTGATTTTCTTGCAGATAGTGACTGCTTGTGTTCAACCACCTACCGACCAGTGAAGGCCAGCTCCTCTCCCAGTTCATGCGGCGCCGGCATCTCCTCATCCTCAGAGAGACCCCCCCCTTTTCCAGCCGTGCCGTTCATCTGTCCCAGCTCGTTCAAGGAAAACACAGACTTTCTGCAGAAAAAAACACACACATTATATCGGAGAGTTGGAAGGATCTTTATGGTGATGACAAACTTTGATTGCTGCAGACAGGAGGGTGTGATTACACCCATCATTAAGCTCTTATCTCCTGTTTTTGTGCATGGCACAATCTGTTTTGCCGCTAAGTCTGTGTCTTGGACGACAAAGCGGCTTTGGTTGACATTGTGAGTGGTTGTAGACGCATTTCAGCACGGCTCCTTGAGCTTAGAAAAACACAAACCTTTTGTCAGCTGTGGTGACTTTCTTTGGAGGCTCAATGCGGATTTTGGGATCCCATTCTCCAGGTGGAAGCACAATCACTTCATCCAGAAACTCATCTATGCCGGCTATCAGGTCCTCCCGATCTCTGGCTTTGTAGGCAACATCACTGAAAAGCTTGATGGGGAGGGGAGAGGAAAGGAGAAGGGTTTACGGCTTCACTTTGTTTGTAAGATGTTCAAACCAAACCAAAAAAGTCACAGTAAAAGTTTTATGACACTTACAGGCTGCTTGAACCCAGCTTATGTTAAAATTATGACAATAAAATATTAAACCTAAAATCTTACAGATGTAGATGCAAGTTATTAAAAAAATACAATCTGATGCGTTTTAGTCTGCAAAACCGATTAAACGGCAGAGATTCGTCTGAAAGTTGCAGAACAATCTGATGTGTGAGTTAAATCCCTGTGATGTTTTACAGTAATCATACTATTATTCTCACGTTTCAGTATTTTCGCATTAATAAGTGGTGTCTAATTACCAACACCCCACTTTCCTCCTCATGAAATGAGTTTCCTTGCATAAAATACATTTTTTTCACAACATGCTATTTATGTTCCCAAACCTGAAAAAACCCAGTTTGTTTTCATTGTGCAATCTGCTTTTACAGCTTCAGTACGCAATTTTTATATATTTTTTGCTTTACATATTTGTTAAATCTGTCACCATGTCATGAATGTATAATAAGACAACAATCTGTGAAGAAAAAAAAAACTCTCCTTTGTCTTCTCCCAGTGCTAACTAGAAACAACCAGTCATAGCTAGGTGGATCTCCTCCACCTCCTCTGTGAACTGTTACTGCCATCTGAAGACACGCACCACTCCCAAACAAAAACAACTGATCAGAGCCAGGAAGCGGGTCGTAGCGCTGTCAATTACCTTCCATGTGGTGCTGCCCCTCCTTGCTGTCTGTTATGATTTAGCTAGCAGAGCCTGTTGTGAATGCTCAGTCTAGTTAGCATAGTCACTGATGACAGCAGATAAAAGGTTTTCCTGTAACAGTAAGTTGTTTCTCCACCATTGTCACATTTAGTAGCAAGTACATGAGTGACTGGCATCATTAAGCCCCGCCTCCTGGCTTTGATTCGTTGTTTTCGGTCGGGAGCGGTGCTTTTCTTCAGAGAGGAGGTGGAGGACATCCGTCTTTTCATAGATTATATGTCTCATATTATACTGACACAACATGGTGATACTTTTAACAAATATGTAAAAAATATATATTTTTCATAAAAGTTACATACAGTTTAGAAATATGAAATGGGTTTAAGATTAACAATGAATTTTATGGAAATAATACCAAACCAAAATCTCAATATTTAAACACAACAATATTACCACTTTTGCAAGCCTCATAGTGAGGCTTCTGGTCAAACCATCTAATTGATGCCAACCAATCAGGAAAAGGAACATGCTGCACATTTGGCTTTCAACAGCAGCTCACTGTCTTTTCTGAAAATAATAATAGATCTTCTCAGACAATGTCACTGTCAGCACTGCTCCGCCTAACAAAGACAGAATGCCACAGAGGCATTTTTTTCACACAGTGACAGACACTTACATCATCCACCATTAGGGTCGCTATAGCCCTGCCGATCTCATTATAAGACTTGGCCTTTCCTTGGGGACCCAACAGAATAAACAGGAATCTGCAGACAGGAAAACACATGTAAGGGATGTGGTGGCAGTTCAGACGTCGTTGCAGAGGCTGGAGAGGAGGACGCATGGCGCTGACTCACCTGGTGGGAACTGGCACTTCTGTCAGCCCTCCGAGCGTCGTGGCCTGAACCAGACGGACGAAGGCCACGAAGGGTTTGTTCAGGAAGTCCACTTCACCCACTAACACGTTGGATGCCTCTGCGTCTCTAGGGATTTTCTTCATGAATTTGTTTTTTAGCTGTGGCAAAAAAGGAAGGAAAATGTAGGAGTGTGTTGAGGTATAACTGTCAGGTAGCAGCAATGATGTGACCTGTGTCTCCAAAGTTAACATGTGTAACATGTGACATTTATTTATGACTAAATCTGTGTTATAGCCTTCTTTGCTAACAGTGTCTTTCAAGCGTATTCACACATCTAGTCCTGTCACAACAGCAACATTTTCTAGGCGGTAAATTGTTCCAACAATTGTTGTGATAAACGATAATGTTTTGAGAAAATTTTCAAGTGTATATTGATAAGGGCATAATAATGCAAGTTCACACTTTCAAAGATCAATAAACCGTAACTGTGTAAAGAACACTTAAAACTGGAACTGGGTGATATTTTAAATATCCAAAATAAAAGACAACAACCAAAAGCAATAAACAAAGCGGGAGAAGAAAAACAAAAATATTAATAATCCAAATGTAAATTATTGAGCTCATTTTGATTCATCATCTGATTAACTGAGTAACTGCTTATTGCGACAGGCTTACACACGCCCTGGCATTCCTCACTTTATAGTCATTTCTCACTTTTTATCAGGATTTTACAATATGAACCATCAAGACTTAGTGCACAGTTATCAAGTAAAAGAAAAGTGATGCATGTATATATTTAAAATAAATCAAATGAGTGGCACACATTTGTACTCTGCCCCACTTAAAAACATTGAGTTAATTTGTTCCAAGTAGCCCAAAATAGATTTATCCAAATTAACAATGTATGACACACTTTTCAATGTGTTATTAGTAAAACCTTTTGAAAACAGTGTAATTATTATTCCACTTCACAGAGGTTTACAGAACCGATGACAGAAAATAATTGGAGGATGATGGCGTGGCATGATTTTTAATGCCTGAACAAACTTATTCATGTGTGATTTTAATTGTGTCTCTTATTTAACGGAAACATCACAATTTCAAAATGGTGAAACACAGCTACAGAGAAACATCAAGGGACCTGAACACTTTTGTCAGCTCTGCAGGTCATGTCTTCTAGATTTTATGATTTCTAAATATGAACTAAACAAAAAAAAGTTAACTTAAAATGTCGTCAACTGTTGTTTTCAATGCTGCTGCAGTTCCCAGATCTCTAAATAACAACCCAAAAGTAAAACATTTTTATCAGTCGCTTATTTTCGTGGACGTTCTCTACATTTAGCAGGGACAAACTAGCATCCTGTGTGGCTTTCTGAGAACAAATGAATGAGGTTAAACAATGATGGGCGACGCAGCTGTGACGGGGCGAGCCGTGCCAGTCCAGGCTGACTGACCTGCCTGGCTCCGTGTCAAGGTGCGGCAGGAAATCGGGCAAAGGCTCAAAGATGCTCAATAACCCGGAAGCTTTTTCCAATAATCCACAGCATCAATCTGTAACTACATGTGAGCAGTAGGCACGCGGACCGGACAATGAGATCCATGGTCCTCCCCGCTTCGGCTCGATATTGACACTGACAGTGTGGCGCAGACACACAAACACACAGTAGCAGGGGAAAAAATTAAAAAAAATCACTTGTCCATTGTTGCATGTGACCGACTGTCCGACTGTAACTCCACTTTAAACACTGGTCGCTAGAATCCTTGTTCCTGTGGCTGAGCTAACAAAGACCGCTCATAACCTGTATTGCACTCTGTCCTCATTCAGTTTTTTTTTTCTACCTCATCCCTCCCAGAGAGCGACACCTAATCGTGACCTGTCTGTTTCAAAGCTCAGCAGCCTGATCCCCACAACAACAGCACACCCCCGCAACTGCCCCAGTGTGTCTCTCTGGGTTTAAGTCGCGTTATTGAATCGGTTCTGTGTGTGTTTGCACTCTTTCTATCCTGCTTTTTACAATAATTGGAATGGAAAAAGATTTGTCAATGAGGGAACTGAGACAAGAGATGGGTGATTTCTCCAGTAATACAAAGCAGCAAATTGAGTATAGCTTGTAAGCTAACAAAAAATTAGACCAATTAAGAAATATAAACTCTAAATATTTTTGGTAGATATCAGGATTTAGTGATTATTGGATTTCTACACAATAGCGGTTGGTCTGTGAAGTCACAGTTGGAGCCCACCTGGTCTGTGCTGGGAGTGTCGGCAATGTCGTTCATACTTCTGCTCTGAGCATGACCTGGAAGGGAAAAACACTCACTGAAAAGTCAAGTCTACTCAAGTCTAAGTTTCCCATTCTGTTACATAATACTTAAGTTAACTGCGAGGTTTGCAGTAATACAGTCTATTAAGGAAACATTTTAACACTGAGGACACACTATGTGTTGTACAATTGTAAGCTAGATGTAACAAGATGCACACATTTCAAAATGTTACCCTTTTGTCCCATCAGTTAACAGAATATGTTTTCAGTGAGAGGTTGACCATCGTGTTCTTTTTCATCAGCAGCGTTTTGCTTTTGGATCTCTTCCTAGGGAAAGTAAGGTCTGCTGTGCTTTAGCAGCTTGTTCTGCATGACATGTGTACACATTTATTAACAGTAATGGCATATTCCTGAAATGTTTTAAAGATTAATTCATAGTCCACTGGTAAGCGTGGACTGTGAGTGAAATTAGGGAGAACAGGGCCTTACAAAAGTATTTACATTCCTTTATTTACTCCCATTTTACAAGAATCTGTAACTCTGAGTCTAGGCGCTGTAACTGAAATTGAAAATTTTTTCGTGTTTTAGGACTCAAGAAAAAAAAGTCTAATAAAAGCTGATCGTAGCAAAACATCACTCACGTAGGCGTCCGTAGTTAGCAGCTTGCTGCTTAACACGTAGATCTTCTGTGGATCGGTTAAAGTTCGGCCCTTGACCCTGACCTGGACCTGGTCCCGGACCCATTCCACCTTTGGGCGGTACGCTCCGACCTGACAGCGGCGGGGAAGCAGACAAAGAGGCAAGCAGCAGCTAAATAGTTGAAGGTGATGTTGTCTGATTTACTGAGCAGCATGTGCTTTGCCCTGATGAGATGGGGAAATGTTACAGTGATAATTAACTCATCAAACATTAATGTGTCCCCTGTGGAGGATGTGAGCCCTGCTGGCTGCTGGAGAGCACAGACGCATTTAACAAGCATGGTAAACATATGCATAGTAACTTTCTGCACAAAATGTTTTGCAGGGTTTATGCAGGTTTCACCAAATCAAGTTTAAGAGTTTTAATGATCTTTTTCAGACCATTACAATACAAACACAATTTAAGATGGACAAATAAAATGCAAGGGAACCAAAACTGAAACTTCTGGGGTCTTTTTGTGCTCCTCAATGGCATATCGCTCTCTAGCTAGCTAAATAGCCAGCTATGTGACTCAAGCAGTCAAAGTTAGCAGTAGCAAGCTGCTAATACTTACTTTCTAGCTGGTAACAAGTTAGCAATATTTGGGTGCTAGCATGAAAGTTTTAGCAGCTTGTTACCGGTAGCCTGAACTGCCTTGAGCCGCAAAATGTGATTCAAGATGAAGATGCCTACGACCACTACGACTCAAACTTTTGCCTGATAAAAATACTTACATAAAATATCTGAGATTAGATAGCTCTGCCACGACAAAATTTAAGACCTGTGACTAATATATTTACATTTTTTAAATGAATTCAAGACATTAATTTTAGGTAAGTGAATTCAAGACCTTTTAAGGATGAGCAGACACTGTTGGTGACAGAGCTGAACGAACACATTACTTAGGGAAAAAAAAAAATCACTATTTCAGTGTTAACTCAAAAGCTGGCATTATGGTCAGAAATACACAAAAACATATTTTTGTGTATTTTAGTCATCTTGGGTAGCTTATTTAGCTTATCTTTGCTTTAATAATAAGCTTAATTTTGGTGACGATAACCTAATTATCATAGCTTATATAGAGTAGAACATTATCCTGTGTAAAGTTAAGGTTTAGTCAGGCCTTGCTGAGTCAGACTGCAGTTTGTGGTACCAGTATGAACACTCACTTGCAGAGGAGCCGGACTTGCCCATGTCGGCCAGTGAGCGGTGAATCGGCTTCTTGGTCTGATGCCGGTGTTTCCTCAAGAGCACAAAGCTGATCTTCTCCCTCAGCTCAGGTGATAACATGCCCTCTTCTATCTGTCTCTCAATTATGTCATCTGCACAGACACATGAGTTCAGTTCCCATGTGATAAATGGTTTTTACTCAGACATACAAAGTCTTGATGGTGAAGGAATTAATCAGTGTTCAGAGCACAAAAACATCTGATTTCTCTCCTTGAGATTGACTGCTGCTTCAGAAAAACAGAATGCTTATGAAAGGTGACACTCCATCAAAGCCCACTGCTGCAAAAAGGTGTTTTCACAGAAAAAAAGATTTCTAGCTCTCAGAAAAGAGAAGAACTCAATTAAAAACTCATTATGAGTTTTGGTGGATTAAAAGAAAGGCTGGTCAAGAACAAACTGATGTCATAGAAAGAAAAAGTTTTTAGATAATATTAAAAACTTGATTACTAGGATTAGGTACTCTACTATCAGCAAGTCTGCAGCTGACATTTTGTTATGAAACCACTTGGTTGGTAAATGAGGTACTGAGACTGGGCCACCCTCTCAGGAAAAGCTTCTTTTATTTGCTACTGTTGCAGTTGCTAGAATTGATTAGTTTTAGCTCTACATCCTTTTACCACATTCCAAAACATCTGTACTGACAGCTGGAGGGTAGGCCCCACATCAAGTTCTGCTTAAGCCCACAAATGACGTTGGGCCGGCCCTGTTGGAAGAGCTGAAATAGATCATTTTTATCCTACATCTTAGCAACACTTAGTTATTCTAACTTCAAATGCTCTTTCTGATAATATTTGTTTGACATATAACTTTTAAAGCCATATTGTACCATTTTATGGCACAAAACTAAATAAAAAAAAAATACTGTTATAGCTACTAGCAAGTAACCCGTTTACTGACAGGCTCCACTCGTTAGCTAGATTTGGTTAGGACAGAAAATACTTCTTTTTAGGCAAGACTGAGAATATTTTCAGACAAATTACACAAAGTATGAATAATAAATATTATAAAGGAACATTTTGAATGTGTTTGGCTACAAAACAACAAACAACGAAACATCAATATGCCAATTCATCAACCAATAACAGACCACAAGGGATAGATATAGATATGTACATATACTTTTGGGATTTCGTCCCGTCTTTCAGGGAGATGTCTCACCAACTATCTGAGGCAACGAGTAGCCGTCCATGTCCAGCATCACCGTCCCTGTTTGGAGACAAGTCCTGAGCTCAAAAAGACTGTGCAGGGACAGCGTGGACACGTGGGGTTTACTCCATCTCTCGCCTCCCTCCTCCACCTTTTCCTCAAACTTCACCCACCTGAAGATATAAAAGCATCAAAAGAAAAAGTGAATCAGGAAAGGACAAAATGTTAAAACGCACTGAGGTTTTCAACAAGTGCTGTTTGGGTTCCCTCTGCTCAGCAGGCATCGGTCCACTGAAAGGGCAGCTTGGGTGACCTCAGTTCATTCTTCAAGCTTCTTGGATATTTTACTCTGCCAAAATGGTCTTGTACTGGTGGGCATTTGTCATATCGTTTATCATTTATCAATATAAGAATTTTGATTTATCATTGTCAAAGATAAATTCCAATTTATAATGTTCCCTTTTTTCCCCACTGTTTGTATAAATAAATGTCAATACATTTGAAAATATGACTAGATGCAGTTACTGTGTGCAGATTAGTGATATATATATCAGACTCTTTTATGTAATTGGTGTCATAAAGAAGTATTTTACAAATTGATATGTTTTTCAAGAGCAGCATTTTTGTTTGGGGGCTTTGATTGCTCTGTGATGCAGTCACAGATATACAGTTACCTAATATAGGAATAATAAATAATTATTATTGTCACTTTTATCACTGTCAATACTGCCAATCAATCAAGCAAGTTTATTTGATTGACACAGCAGTTCAGAGTGCTTTACATCATGAAAACACAGAAAACATCAGCAACATGTCATACAGTCAACATTTATGATAACCAATAACAGACATTACATTTTGTCAAGTGTCCTAGTTAGAATCATCAATATGTCACAATGGAACAGTGACCAACTCTAAGCAGATGGGTTTTCCTTTCATGCCACTTTTTTGTGTGACAAGACATCAGTGAGGATTGTTCTGTGGAGATTTTTAAAGCTAACTTAAAAAATGTTCAGTGTCTCATGCGTCTTTATCCTGTACTTACAGTTTTATTTATTTTATTGACGTTTCCTTTGTATTTTATTTGTTTTATTATGGTTTTCATCTCCTTGCATCGGTTCAGCACTTTGTTCAAAAGCATTTTATAAATAACGTAATTTTTATTATTATGAGAGGAATGTCCTTTATGAACGAAACATGCTTCCTCTTAATGAAATTGGATTCATCAGTAACTCCCTTTCCTGTCTCCTCAATATAAACAAACACTGTGCCTGTGTGTGCATGTGTGTGTGTAGATGTGTGTTGTGTCTACCAGGTTTTTATAGTCTTGTGGGAACCTATTTGGGGTTATGGGAACCATTGCTCCTTGTGGGGACATTTTCTTGGTCCCCATGAGGCAAATTGTTGTTTTTGGGTTAGTGGTTAAGTATGAGATGGTTAAGGATAGGGTTAGGATAAGAGTCAGAGTTAGGCTGTAGAAATTAATGGAAGTCAATGTGAAGTCCCCACAAGTGATGAAAACACGACTGTGTGTGTGGATGGGTGTATGATGTGTGTTTTGGGCGTGGACACACACCTGGCCGACTCCTTCCACTCCAGCTCGTCACCTTCTCGCTGCAAAGTGTCCATCTCTGTGAAGAGCGTTGGCGTGGGCATGTCGTCGTCTTCATTCAGGATGTAGCGTAGCCGCTCTGCTGCCGGAGACACTGCGTCGCAGAAAATAACTTATGTAAGATGTTTAAAAAAACAGTCAGAAAGCATTCATTTATTCTAATATGCTTATAGAAAGCTTTAGTAGCTCAACTAGGATTGAATTGTTTGCAATAGAATTTGAATCTGTGTACATGATTGGGTAGATTTGATTGTTTAATTCTGTACGTAAATTGGACTTACTTGCCTTGGGATGACATTTGTTGTTAATTGGTGCTTTATAAATAAAACTGAATTAAGTTGAATTAAAGGGGTCCAGGAGGGCATGTGCAAGGAAGCCATGAACCAGCATGTCATACTGTTACACAAACATTCTGCTGGAAATAATCTGACAGTGGAACAATGTTATCAACGCAGTGAATTGTTCTGTATCCAGTGACCGTATCGAGGATATATTTAAGCGATTAACCTTTCATGATGCTACATAACTATGTAGATCTGATACTGTTAAGAAAATGTTTACATTTTACGTAGAAGAAATGTAGAATTATTTTTCTAAAATGAACTGTAGTCAGTACTTCACTTGCAGGGAAGTTTTTAATGCATCATAAACAGTCCATGCCTAACTTTGTCACAATTAAGGTCCTGCAGAAAAGAGAACACAATTGAAGGTTGTTTCATGCTCACAGAGCCCTACATCCAACTTAAGCTAATTCTAACAAAGATGTAATTACCTCTTCCTGTCTTTCTCACTCAGGCTTTGGGTTCATGAACTTTTTATTTTTATTTATTTAAAAATAAATAAATTTATGTATTTATTTCAAAGTCATGCTGCAGTCATTTTTCAGGTGCATCAGATGAAATTATAAGGAATTTGCTTGCAGCTATTTCTAATACTTACCAGAAAAAAAAAAAAAAAAAAATGAGAAATTCTGAGATTAATCTCAGAAATAATCCAGGAAAAACAAGAAAATTCTGAGTTTGAAAAGTAAAGAAAAAAAAAAACATTTCCAAGTTTCTTTTTTTATTTATGCTGCTCTGTAAACTGTAATCTGGCCCTGGTAGCACTCACCTACATGCCCCTAATTACTTTGCAAGCCTTTTAATCTTTGATGGATCAATAACATTGAATAACTTTACACACAGCTAGAAACTGTAAATCATTTCATATGACATGTTATTTAAAAATATGAACTGAAAGTGAATAAAAAGAATCCATTGAACAAAAACTAAAAATTGTTTAGTTTGTTTGCAATCACAGGTTTCATATATTCAGAGGAGACACATAGCTGGAGAAAGTAATAATTCACAATTTTTTAAAGGTTGTTTTGTATATTTATGTCATTCTTGTACGACAGGCAGAACATTTTAAAACGCTGCCGCTTGCATTGGGTTTGTCTGATCAAATACCTCTATTGTCTTACCACTTATTGCGCCACATGCATTTTGAAAATTGCTAAGTAAAACCCCTCAATTCACCAACACTCCTACCCCCAAGTATTTGAAAGCCAAAGCAACAGCGACCTGCTGCCGTGTTTATGACAAAAGAAGACGCAATCCCCACTCAGGCTGTGTCTCAGCCTCCTGCTGCTTACTGTAAAATGCCCAGAAGGGGGTTAAATCATATCAAAAGCATGACAAAAAGCCCGTCTTTAATTAAAATGAAAACTTCACCTGAATGCTGGCTGAGTTCAGTAAACACACTGAGCTCCTGCTGCAGGTAAATAAAGGGAAGAAATACAAATGAATCGCAAAAAGGGCTGCAGAAATAAACGCAAGAATCAGTGGACATCATATGTTTGTTACGGAAGAGAAAACTAAACAGGACAGTTTTTATTGCAGTTAAGCTACATGTGGCTCAAATAAACCACATGCCAGAAATGTGTTCAGTTTGGTCAGTTGTTATGACTAAGACATCTATAATTCATTAACTATCTCAACTGATCCATCTTAGTTTTTGTAGAAACATATTAAGTTGTCTAAATAAAAACATAATGATATATAATTATGGCTGGTCATTTAGGCCCTGAAGCAGCAAAGTATCTCCATCACCATGTCTTATACACAGTATGTCCTTAGATAGGCTCAGTGCACCAGTATGAAGATCATCCATCAGGTTTCTGACTGTGCAATCTTTCTAGTGGCTTCCTTTGCTGCTTGTTGGATCAGAAGTATCATAAGTATATTTTAAGGAATACTGTCATATTCAGTAAATTTCAATATGTCCTGAGGAGTCTTGTTTGTCAGATTAAAAGTACCTTTTGAAAACAACAACCTTTAAGCAGGTATTAATCATATTTTTCATTATTAAGTCCACTCCCATCCAGAGCAAGCAAGTAGCAACAGGGGGAAGGAATAACTGTGTTTTAACAGGAAGACCCTGAGTCAGCATGACTGAGTGTCTTCCATGATCGACTAGAAGAAGAGGAGACACTGAACAGAAAAGCATGGAGGCAAGGAGCACACAATCCTAATGCCACAACTACTTTTGTGAGTGGCTTTGTCTGCGGCTGCATTCAGCTCTGTTTAGTCTGGTTTAATCAAACTGTAGTTCAGTTGGTTTGGTTTGAGGTGTGAATGCTCAATTCAACTCAAATGCGGACCAAAAAAGCAAACTCTGGTCCACTTAAAAACTTCGGCCTCAGTTCGGTCAATGTGAACTGGTATGGTATGCAAACCCGAGACCGCTCCAAAAGCAGGAGGAGGACTATAGCGCAGGGCATTATGGGTAAACAGAACCAAAACAAACATGCGAGTCTAGCGCTACAAGGAGAAACAGCTTGTGGTCTTTCACCAGAGACATTCTACCACTGTTACACTATTTTTGTTTACATCTTTTGGAGAAAAAGGTTGCACTCAGCGTCTTCTTCAGAAGTTTTCATGTCGTATCTTTCAGTAGTTCCTGGTGCAGCACCGCCACAGGCGAGGAGGTGAACAGGTTTTTCAAATAGTGTGGATCGTTTGACACAGTCTGGATTACACTCTACAAAATATGGCCTTTGGTACACGTAAATTGCTTGAAGGGTCAGATGGAGGTATAAGCAGACTTTACCCTGATATAATCAGTTCTGCTACTTGTGTCTGAGCAGGGAACATACTATATGCACAATGTAGCTGTTTGTAGGAAGGTGAACTAGCACTAATTTTTACAGAATTATAGGCTTCCATCTTCCCTGAATGGAAGTCTACAGCAAGAGTAAGTCAGCTGTGAGTCCAGTGACAGTTTAAGTATATTGGAGATATATTTTAGCGTCCTGTGGCCTGCCTTCTGGATGAACCACCTTTGTAACTGTGACGGGCTTTGTTGTGAGGCTTGTTTGTTTGATCGCTCTTACTTGTGCGGTTGATGTCTTGTAGACTCTGCTCAGCTGAGTCCATAAGTCCTTCCTCAATGTCTATGTCTCTGTAGCGGTCATGGTCCTGGTATCTGTTGTGGCTGTAGTGTCTGTCCCGCTCCATGTCCTGAGCCTCTCGACTCGACCGCCGTCGCCTCCGTTTGCGGCGTAACCCACGCGACACGGGGACGCCGATGTAGACAGATTGATGGTCTGTGGAGGAACACGGTTCGTTGATTAGAATCTGACACTGTGCCATAAAAATAAAGTAACAACTTACCAGTGTTTTCACTTGATTAAATGTTTAAGTGCAGTCATGTTTCACATACACTGTAACTGCAAAATTGCAAACTGTTTTATAAAGCACGGCTGTTTGAAAAAAGGGTCACACTGAATAAAGGAAGTGATTTGATCACAGCTAAACATCATCAATTAACCATATTTTACTTAATAACGAAAAGATATAGACAGAAATGTGATTTCTAGCTGAAAAAAAAAAGCTAGGACACACCAACGCCTTTGTAAATAGCATGATTACCACTTAGATGTTCATTCCAGAGATCCAGATCTGGACTTTGACTAGGCTCAGGACCAGTCCTTGGTTGACACACTTACAGTTGCTATCATGTACTTTTCTTGTTTCTTATTTTGAGTTTATGCCTAACATGCTCCCCCTGTTCAATTCATTCTCATCTCATCTTCACAAGGACATTATTACATAAATCCAGGCAAACTTGTTCAGTTGTTTCTTTTTCCCTTTAGAAAGTAATGTTTTTTCCTCCTTTCTCTCCTCTGATGAATGTTGAGCTTCTTCTCTCTTTCTGATGGCACATTTAATGTCAAACATAAGAGTCAGCTGTAAGCTTAGTGACAACACTTTAAGCCTTACTGTAGCATCCTATGGCCAGCCTGCAGGGTGAACTGCTGGAATTAGACATGTTGGTGGTTGTTTTTAACATCCACAGCTTGCAGACTGTTGTCCATACAGTGGAAAGGCTGATTTGAAATTAGACCTCACTTAATCTCTTGCGAGGCACATAAAAGGCAACAATCTTCCTTCTCAAGGCTCTTTGGATCTCAACATGGTGTTCACTCTGACCTCAACAGTTAGGAGCATACCAAACTGCAAGTGTAAGGTTTAAATATAGTAAAGCTCCTTTAAAATTGTGAATAATTATGTTTTCGGTACCTTATGTGATACAGCTGTGTGTGATTCTAGTCAATTTATTGTCCCCAGGCAGCATTTTTACTATTTTACAGAAGGTTTTGATTTATTTTAAATATCCACATGTCCAAATATGGTAAAAAGCAAAAAAAACAAACAAGAAAAACACAGACATTGTGTGTTTCTTGTTAGGAGAATTCTTTTGCATGTTATGTTTTGAACGATGTAACCTATATCTGGTTTTCAACATCAGTTTTAGTCTTTATTAGAACTCAACATGACTCAGTTTCATAACTCACATAATCCCCGTCACCAAAACTGTGAATGATGCGAGTTAGATTGCCTGCTTCCAATTAAGATGTTGCTGTAACACTAATTTCCCAGAGTACTTCAGGTCGAATGGCAGAACAGCAGGGAGACGCACAGCAATTCAGGATGTTTCGACAATAAAAGGTACATAACCCTGCATCGGCAATATGAAATACATAACATGCTTCACATTATGAATCTTGCTCACAGTCTCAGAATTAAAACTTCATTGTGAAATAACCCATTCAACACAATTTTAACAGATAAACTCGAGGTTTGGACTTCATCTTGTATGTTTGCAGAGGGCCATTTATCCACCACAGGCTTAACCGACACACATAGAGACAAACTCACCATCCTCTTCCTCATAGCGAAGGTCAGACACCCTCATCCCTCTGTCTCCATGGTCCATCCTGGCAAGTTTAAAAATATTTTTTTACACACATGTAGATTTACCCTTAGATATAGTAGCATGGTGTGGCTGTGGTTTTTAATACCCATGTACACAAAGCATCATGGCTAACCGAAGAGTAGCTGCGTTTCTATTGACCATACAATTGCGCAATTTGATATTTAGAAAATGAATTTGCTTAATGGAAACCCGCGAATTCGAAGGAAACGCTCAGTTTTCGACAAAATGTGTTGGTGCTAAAATGAGGTTGTATTCCAGCCGTATCGAAATTGGTTAATTTCGCAAAACTGTCATGCCACTGACTCAAACCACGAAGAAGACGACGACGGGAAGTGACTTGTGTTTTATTGACTTGTCGCGTGAACAGACGTAGTCGCGAGTGATTTCAATTGCGCTTCTTATTGAATGGAAACACCACAATTACAAAATTGTTTTTCGACATTAGTAGTAGCAAAGTTTTGTGTACATTTGTAATGGAAATGCAGCTAGTGCTTTTCCAAGTCCCACTTAAACAAAGGACTTAAAAAAGCCTACACCTGTTTAGCTTTTTGCTTGCTTTGGGATTATTTTTTTTATCCTTTTTTAAGTAGAGATTTATTTTATTTTACATTAGAGTACAAAATACATGGTGCAGTATTGTACATTAATGAAAAGAAAAGAACTCAAATCAAAACAAAGAAAAAGAAATAAAAACAGAAAATGTTGCATTGTAATGAATGAATATGAACTGTGTGTTAAAAAGATCCATTCTTAAACTCTATAGGAGTTTCAGAATCCAGTCTGTACTGAAAGCTGGAATGTCTTAAGAAAACCTGTACAGGCACAAAAAAGCATTAAAAAAAAGAAATCTCACTTGGTAAGAACATGTGAGAGTATTTGGGCTGATCACAGGTCAGAGTAATATTGGAAAGATAATCACGTTTTAATCTAACTGTCCAGTTTCTGGAAGAGTTTAGTGGCCTTGTTTATTTAGATCTCTATTAATCTTGCTTTCTGTTATGGTGTGTGGTCATTTTGAAATGGGACGGAGTCATCCATAAGCTTTTAACTTTATAGGCATGTGTTTTTTCAATGATATGCGTGTGTGTGTTTTGGCATTTCTCACCTTGCATGACCCATTTCTCTAACAAATACTGCATTGTAAGAACCCAATACTCCTTGTTGTTCTTGGGTTAGGGTTAGGTTTAGGAGTGAATTGAGTTTATGGTAGGTTTAAGGTAAGGGTTAGGGTTAGGCTATAGAAATGAATGAAAAAATGAATGGAAATCGATGCAAAGTGTGCATGTGTGTGCGTGTCAGAGCTCCTTATCTGGGACATGACCTCCGGCTGCATTACCACCAGCTGCATCTCTCGCTCACTGACCTGCTTGCTGCAGCACTGCCATGCAGATCAATGGGAAAATAATTAGGAGTGAGGGAAAGTCAATAAGAATGCACATAATTAAAACAAATGCAATGGTAACGTATCACACGTGCCACCAGTTCACACACTGAGTGCCACCAGCGAGGAATAAGGCCACCATGTTCCTGCTGGTAGAGGTGTCGAGAAAATAAAATCTTTATTTTCATTTAAATGTTCTCTGAACTGTTCTTTTCACTTATTATACTGAATATATTCAAATGGTTCATTTCCTTTTCAGAAAAAAAGAATTGTGGCTCAATCAAAACAGGAGGCAAAAGTGTTCTCTGTTCAGTCCACTGACTGGCTCAAGTGTGTAAACATTGCCTGTATGTGATCATTGTAACACTCTCCAGGAGTGTTCAGGTAGCAAAAACACTCCAAAAGGTGGACCTGTAGCACTCTGTGAGATAACAAAAGCCACCCAGGGTTACTTCTGAGAAACTACCATGCTCTCTCTCTCTCACCTTGGCTGGTCTTAAGGGCTGTGAGTCAACCATCAAGAGGACACTGAATGGAAGGAAAACAAACAGCAAGATGCTGCTCTTCAAAAACAGTAAAACCTGTTTGCGGATGAGAGGCTGTTGGAGGAAAGGTTTTGAAAACTGAATTTTTCTTTTTTCAGATCAGAAGTGATGTGATGTGATCTAATGGGAAACACGGGTGTGGCGGTGTGATGATTTGAAATTATTCTACTGCAACTGAGTCAACATGGCTTTCTACTGATGAAACTAGCAAATATAGATGATAATAAAACATAAAACAGTTTTTTGAGAAAATGATAATGTGCCACATAAGTTTGAACTGATTGTTCACACAGAGTATAAAAATATATATACAGGCTCAAATTTATACATACATCTTTGTTAAGATTTTGGTAAATGTCCCTCGATACGTTGTACCTTGACCACACTTCTGACCTAATTCTGTTTGGATTTGACCACTCTTCATCATCAGCAGCATCAGAGTCAGTAATGTAAAAAGACTCAACAATCTGATAAAGAAGGCTGATTCTGTTCTGGTTCTTTTCTCTGGAGATGCTGATGCAAAGAAGAATTCTTCATAAAATCAAGAAAATTATGGCAACCCAGACCTTCGCCTTCACACTATCTTGGGAAAACAAAGTATCTTCAGTCAGAGGGTTCTTTAGATTTGCTGTAATACAGACTGCAACAAGAGATCTTTTCTGCCATCAGCCATCTCCATCTACAATAACTCTTTGAAGAATCTAAATTAATGAGTTACAAGAACATTTAATTTCCCTTTAGGGTTCATAAAATATTTTTGAATTTGATTTTTTTTTTTTTTAATTTGAATTCATCACAGACTTATAGAGTTCAGATTAAATTATGAGTGCACACCTGTTTGTAATGTCGGTCTACAGGGGCAAGGTCCAGATCCAGGGTAATGCAGATATTTAAGGTTAGCCTGCTTCATTTGGAATTTCTACAATCTTAGTTAAAGTTCAAGAATTTGAAGGTAATCTCCCTGAAGCTTTTCATCCACAGCATGATGCTAACCTGACCATGCTTCACATTTGATTCAGTGTTCTTAGGGCTGAAAGCGTCGCTTTGACTTCTCCATAATTCTTTTTGTTGTAGCCAAGCAGATCAATCTTTTTCTGAGCTTGTCATTGTGTGGAGCTGCATGATTCAGTTAGGGTTGAAATGTGATTTGAGCTTCTAGGGTGACACTTTGAAAAGAAACAGGCCTCAATGTGAACAGAGGTAAGTTTCAACTCCATGGCAGAATTTGCCTTGATTGTTCCTGAAGAAATTGTTCTTTCCTCTCAGGAATCAGGTCTTCCAGACTTCAGCAAAGAGCTGACACATGCTTGTAGTTACATAGCCTCACTCAAACGTTTCTGGTTAGAAATTACTCTGAAAAACTTTCTCAACTTTTGTATATGTACAGACCAAAGGGAAAGCCCAAGGATCTCAGAAAAGTTATGAAAAAGGTTTCGATAACTTTCCCATTGTCCTGAGTAGTGGCCGGTTCTGTGATGCTAAAAAAATAATATTTTTTTATTGGTAACAGGTACGGAAATAGATCTTGGCCTGGCTAAGTTAAATCATATGCCAGGCTCCAGAGGTACCAGCATCTCTTACTATAATTTTTTCCGTAAATGTATGGAAAACCTTACGGCTTATGCCTGTAAAGTTTTCAGCATGTGATGATTGCAGAAAACTCCCTTTAAATTCAAACTTCCTCACACAACTCTTATGTTTAAAAGTGATTAAAGTTGTGTATTGTGCAACATTTATCCCCACGCCATTAAAGTAACACAATTAATTATTTTTATGCCCATCATGAGTATAGGTAAACTTCTAACCGTAACTGTAAAGTTCTGGCCAGGAAAATCAGAAAAGGGGAGTTAAATCAAAGACAAAAAGAAAACCATTTAAAAAGCAAAAATATGTGTTTTGAATGCAAACAGTATGAAAAAATGTAAACAAAAGTCATCAACTTGTAATTTTTTTTAAAACACAAAATAATTTATGGACCAAGCCCACATTTGTTTCTTTCCTTCTAACAGGCCTGGTTTGAATGCTGTGGGTTAGAGCTGCATGTCTCATTGTGTTTTGGCTATGGGACGCTGGAAACGCCACCCTGGAGGGGTGAGAGCTGTGAAGCGGCTGGTTCTGACCCGGCAGAGCTCCATCTGAGCTGCTGCTGTGGAGGGTAGTTGCTCTGGCTTCCTGCCTCTGTAATTAGTGCTGTCACATCAGTGTCCTTCACACCCAGTGGGCAGCTGGAGTGAGCGCTGCAGGCCACCCCACCCTCCCCCCATCACAAGCTGATCGATGGGCTCGCCCTGCCTCCGAATGCCCCCCTCACCACCACCTCCACCATATGGAAATAATCCCCACTGGTGTATGAATGGGAGCACGAGACCTCGCTGTCATGTGCCCTGCCAGCAGGGAAGTATTCCCAAACATCCGCACGAGGCACAACAGGTTAATTTGTTGAGTAATTGAAGCTTTTACACTTTGGAGAAACCTGTTAGAAAGATCAGCGTGGTGTTTTACACTTTTAACCTCATCTAAAAGCAATCAGGGAAACTGAAATTACAACAAAACTTGATAATTGTTAGAGAATGCTTTCTCTGATGTAACTTCACCTAAACTTTCACAAAGTTTAATGCCTTGCACAACAATCTGTTAAAGATTATGCATGAGGTTGAAAGAAATGATTGCTTTAGCTTTAATGTTAGCATTTCAAACCCCCTAGCAACATGTTTTAGCATAATTTGGAGACAAATCTTACCGAAAGATCATGAGTAGAATTTGACTAAACATATTTATTTAGTCTTATTCATCCAGTGTGGTGTCCAGCAGAGAAAGTTAAGCCTGATGTGTTTTTACATGAGTTAAATCATAAAGAGTCAGTAAGCGTTACCCACTGAAAGTGTTAGCTGAAAGGTCTTACGCTTAAGAAGTTTTTTGAGTTGAAACAATTATTTAATATTTCAACTATTATTGAAATATAAAGTTGATTTCAATAATAGTAATCTTCAATAACAGTAAACTGAACAATGTTGTCTTGTGAAAATGTGGTTGTAAAATACCAGCTAACATCACTTTGTATCCTATCGATGTAAATATTTTTAGTTTGAGTAGTTTCAAATTGCAGAACAAAGTTAAAACAGTGGGTGTGTCCGATGTTTAAAGGTAAGGGAAGTGAGAAGTACAATAAAAACGTTAGAAAGAAAAACCAAACTAGTCCTTTAAATTTGTTTCCAGGTTTAACTAAGTTTGTAAAAGAGGTAGAAGTCAAGTTCTACTTCTTAGCTTGCAAGCACTTTAAAACTGATCTGAGTTTATAAAACATCTGATTAGTTATGTATGACCTCTTTCTTCTCTGATGTATAATTATGAGATACATGAATCAATGGCATATGGTTGTCTGACTTGATCCCAAAACAGTCCTTATCTGTTCTTTTTATGACTGGATATCTTTATGTATAATTTATATAACTTATGTATTTTTGGTTAAGAGTCTCTTAGCAGTTAAAACCTTAATAGAAATCTCACCAAATAAAGAGTGTGTAAGCTGATTCATCATTTCTATTGGCTAAAAGGTTATTTTCGTACTGTAAGGTCACTCATTTTCATTCAGAAATATCAATATCATTTGTGTGTTCCTGTGAGTGGCTGCTGTACATCAACCACCTTAAAGAATATTATCCTCATCTGTGTCAGTCTTAGCAGTTTACCAAAAGAATTGGCAGAAGAATTTAGATTTTCTCTAGTGCTATTCTCCAAAAGACCTAAATCCAAACTGGAAACCCTTTCTGAATAAACAAACTAAGACTGTCACTAAGGAAAACAGAACAAACAAATAGCACTAAACAGAAAATAATAAAGTAGTTTGGAATAAGTGCCAGCCTACCTTGTTTAGTTGTTAGCCTGAGTGACAGAGAGGAGAAACGACTTTTGATGTTCATCGAGTCGCAGCAGTGAAAACATGCCAGTGGAGCTCCAGCAAACTATTGAGTGGAATAAAGTCAGCACAGAGGAGCAGCCCTTTCTGTCAGCGCGTGCCTCTGTGCCCGGCTATCGCTCTCATCATGAGGTCAATAATGGGCAAGCCGGCGCAGAGCTGAGAGCTGTAGGCAGGACACTGTTTCAGTTGACGGCCACAGATAGGAAATCTCTCACTGTGCTGCACTAGCAGGTTGATACACACGGGGCCGTACTGCCATAATCTTTTACAGAATTAAAATATTCTCTAGAAGAGAATCACTGGGAGACATTCATGGTAAAAAACAACAACAAAAAACCCCCACAAAAATAACAAAGGACAGTTCTAAACTTTTATGTAGCATGAAACCCCAGAATGTGCTGTTTTTTTGTTGTGTGTGTTCTTTTTATTTTTTTTTACAGAACCCCCGGTAACATAAAAATTAGAATAATTCTGTCAGGTTTTGAAATACATCACTTGTTAAAGGGGCAGTATTATGTAGAATTGACTTTTCATTAGCTTCGGATCATGCTAGAATGTTATTCATAAATCAAAAACATACCTGGAGTGTTGCTTTGATTCCTTCATCTTTGAGAAATCCTTTAATCTCCCGTGGCAACCATTCAACTGCACAAAACGCCTGGGAGAACCGAGCGCCGCCATCGAGGCACAGCTCCTGCTTGGTGCTGCAGTTTCTGTGACTCCCCAACTCAGCTCCTTCAGACTAGCCAGCAGCAATTAGCAAACACCTGGTGGAACTGAGCATCACCTGAGCTCATTATAAGTTTATAAGTTTATACTTATAATATACTTATACTTAATTTTATACTTAATTTTTAATTATAAAAATTAAGTATTCTTATACTTAAAAATTTATACTTAATTTTTAATTATAAAAATTAAGTATAAATTAAGTATAATTAATTTTTAATAATAAAAATTAATTATAATATTTATAATTAATACTGCCCATTATAGATCTATAGCTAACTCCACACAGCAGGTAAATCCAAGTATTTTTGCCCATATGTAACCCATGTCAAACTTTTTCATGGCAGTCCGAATGGCACAATTCTAATCTTTTCACTCAAAATAAAACTTATTTGCCACTTCCATGTGGTTCTTAGTCAGAAATGTGTCCAATAGTTTTCTGTAGTCAGAACAGTCATGTTGCATTGTATCCCAGTTTTACGTCAGCCTTCCTGTTACTCATTGCACTCAGAACCCCTGCAGTTTATTTAGCTCCTAACCAACTCATGCTAACCTACTCATCCTAATAAAGCAGTAAATCCCAGCACTTTACTGCAGGCAAAAAAAAAATAAAATTAGGATAGAGTTCGACAAGCATAAAAACCCACTTTGTAGTCCAAATAATATATTGAAGCAATGTTGGGCCTTTCAACGACTACATAGCAGTAAATGAATTGAATTTTATGTAAACGATCACCCTACCGATCTCCACTGATCTTCCACTGAGACTGGAGCAGAAAGAACCTGTTAAGTCTGATTGTCATGGGACCAGAGATCTGAAGATGTGCTGCTATTAAAAGCTCTGAATCTGTGAGAGGTTTATCAGGGTGATGAGGCATGGAGGCTGGATGTGACCAGAAGCTGCTGTGCAATCATCCAGCACAAGAAATTTGTATCCTTAATGTCCTGAGGGAGAAGCTTATCAAATCTTTCTTTCTTTCTTTCTTTTTGTACCCTCCAGCATATGGAGCATTTAGTGTGAAATTGACTGCAGGCTGGTTGGTCCACTCCCACACACACACACACACACACGCACTCTCACTAGAGCCAGATATGTGGGGAATTCCATCCAGGAAGCACACAGGTGTGGATGGCAGTCTGTTTTTTTCTATTGTTAACATATTGGAGCTCAAGCTTCCCTTAGAAATGTGATGCTAATAATAACATATGAACCAGCAGCAACATTCATATTCAGGCTCTAAAACAAATTGGCTGTGTTACCTTTTGAAGTGATGACTCTAGTTACAGATCTATAGAGATCAGTTAAATTTACATAATTGGATGCATTTTTCTGTAAAAAAAAAAAAAAAAAAAAAAAAAGGAAATTGGGTTTTAATTTTGGGAGGAAAAAACACTTTTTTTTACCCAAACTGGG